GCTCGTATAGAAACTTTCGCTGTTACAGACTTACAATAATTATACTATACATAACGACGTGTATAATAATAATAATAATAATAATAATAATAATTAATAGGTATAGGCAATATATCTAACCGTTCCTAACATGTAATGTTCTACACATTTTTATTTTACGTGAAATAGTAAACTTGAAGAATATCGTCAAAATCTAAAAAAAAAAAATTGTGTAAACTAATGAATACACTTTTACGGATATCGATGTGGTTACGTTTAATTTTCAAACCAGTGGCTTCCATAAGGGGGGGGGGCTAACGGTCTGAAGCTCCCCCTCCCATTGCTCTTATTATTATACTTAAAAAAAAAAATATTTATCAAGTTTCAACTGTCAACTATAGTAAGCAAGACTTAAATTTCATATACGTATTACCAGAATTAATTAATTTTTAAAAAAACATTGCATACATATTTTCATAAATTATCTGTAATTTGTCAGTAAAAGTATGAACTAGTTGTATTAAATTGTCTAGCCTTAGCTATACACATTTAATATTTTATAAGTTTTGAACTACAAATTAACTGTGGTTTTGAAGAAATTTGAACTTTAAATGCTTATAAAAAATAACTGTGATGCCTATGTTAATATTTTAACTATAATAAAAACGTAACTATTACATTGCTAACCTTTTTAACCAGATAAATAATTTTTTATTGACATTTATAGAAAAAAAAAAAATTTAATTAAACAAATACAATCCAAGTGAGGGCGGTATAACCAAGCTGGTTAGGTACCAAACAATTTTAACAAATTTTCATTTTTTTCTCCAATTATTTTAAAAATCACTGAGCATTCTTAATTTCGAACTCCTAAAAGTACCAACTAGATCCAATTTGCTTCCAAAACCATACATCGGGCATCGAATTTTATGATCGGAGCATTTTTTCTACCAGAAATAAACGTCTGAAATCATTAGACTGGACAAAATAAAAATTACTAATTTTCAAGCCCTCCCCCCCCACCAAATGAAAAATCCTGCTTCCGCCGCTGTTTCAAACAATGTGAATTTGGGATGATAAATTCTCATGTATTTTCTTCAGTCATCAGATTTATTACATTGTTGGCACACGTTTTTCTGTACTTCCAAATGACAAATAGCAGACGAAACATTGACATATTTTTTCATGATATAAGAGTGATTTGGCTATTCAGTATTTATGCCAATATCAGCGGGTCTATTGTGGTAGATACAGTATGTGGTGATAGTGTATAATTCCAATGTAAAAATGAGTGCAGAATATTATAACATGTCCCACATGTCTACTCATATAGAAACTTTCGATGTTACAGACTTACTGCAGATAGATATGTCCTATAAATACAGAATGTAACAGGAATACTTGACAATAAGAAATAACTTTTATTCTAATCAATAATTTTTGTTTTTTATACACATAGTTTATTGACGTTTGCGTTAAATATTATATAATATGAAATTTTGTATTTTTATTTTATAATACAAAAAAAATAATCTAATTTACTTTTTTTGTTGAAAAATTCAAAATACCTAGTTTTTAGAATTCTTTTGATTTTAAAAACATTTATTTAAATTAATTGGGTTATTCTTTATACATATAATGGATGTATTGGATAATAGTAACGCTTGGTTTCTCTGTGAAAACAAAAGTTATTTATTACTTATTATTTATATTATTTACAAATTTACAAATTTACCTGTGAAAACAAAAGAAACAACAATTTATGTTACTATTAAATGTTAATGTTTATGTTACTATTACTTATTAATTGTCACTCTTAATTATTATTTACAATTTAACTATAATATTAAAATCAATTTGCTTGGTTAACAATCCTCATATATTATCATTATCAATTTTACATTATCATTATCAATGTTTGATTATAATAATAATGATAATAATATTTAAAAGAAAGTATTTTCTTTACATCTCCCCCACCCACTGTGAAAATTCTTATGAGAATTTTTATTATCTACTGTAGTACTGTTCATTCTGGTATTAATTTTGTTATGTGGAATAGTCCTGTTTCTTCATTTCTTTTTCCTGTTTCAATTTTAAATATGGTATTTGATATTTTCTCTGTTATTTTGAAAGGTCCAATCCTGAGTTCATCTAATTTTTTTCTATTTATTTTATTTCCGTTTTCAATATATACAAAATCACCTGTTATGAATTCTTTTTCTTTTCTGTTTTTGTCAAAGAGTTTTTTATTGTATTCATGAGATTTAATAGTGTTATCTAGAGCTTTTTCCTATCATTCTTCCAATCTTCTGCATTTTTATGTTCTTTTAGTTCTTCAGGTAACAAGTTTGTGTTAGTCCCATCTAATAGATATTTTGGTGTAAAACCTGTTACTGAGTGTTCTGTTAAGTTATATTTGTCAATACATTCTCTTGCCGTTGTTGTCCATGCTTTTTTTTCTGTGGATTCATTGATTCTGCATCTTATTTTATTTATTATTGTTTGATTCAATCTTTCATTTAGGCCATTAGAAAAGGGTGCATTTAAGGCTGTATAAATAAGTCTGATATTTTGTCCTTTCAAAAATTCCTTGAATTCCTTAGAGTTCAGTCCTGGATATTGGTCTGTTAATATTGTACCTATCTTGTTTATTTCTAGTGTGTCTTGAACTATTCTTATAAAGTCGTTTGCAGCTTGGGTTTTTGAAGTACGTATGAATGCGTATCTTGTATAGTGATCCACTAGAAGATGGAGGTATCTTTTCGTTGATCTTTGACCACCAAACCCACCGATTGTATCAATCGATACTATCTCAAATGGTTGTGTTGCTGGTCCTAATTGTGACATCATTCCATATTTTGCTTGACCTCTAGATTTATTTCTCTTACAAATGTCGCATGTTTTGCATATTTTTTGTATGTTTTCTATTAATCTTTTTGAATAATAGTATGGGCATATTCTGTTTTTCAGTTGGTTTGTGCCAATATGACACCAATTTATATGTGTATTTCTTATTAATTCAATACTTAGCTTTTCTGATAATACTATCTTTTTTTTATTCTTACTTTGTTTATAAATTATACCATGTTTGTCTATTATTTTTTCCTGAAGTTCTTTTAATGCAATATTTTCATCTTGATCTTTTTTTATTTCTTGAATTTTGATTGTATTTACTATCCGTAATGTTTCTTCAGTATTATCTACTGATTCCAATACTGGGTTCCTACTAAGACAGTCTGCTTCAGTATTGAGTTTACCTGGTATGTATTTAATATTGAAATCAAATTGGGATAGATAATATGTTAGAGCTCCTAACTCTTCGTCTGTTCTAGCTTTTATGTTAAGGTTTTCTAGAGGTTTATGGTCTGAATATACTTCAAATTTTCTTCCAATTAACCAGTATTCCCAATATTTTACCGCTTCTTTTATTGCTAAACATTCTAAGTAAATGGCTTTTTTTTTTTTTTGTGTCTCATTTAATTTTCTTGAAAAATAGGCCACTGGTTTTTCCTCTCCATTTTGTTGTGTCTGTTTTAGTATTGCACCCATACCTTCTATTGAAGCATCTGTAAATATTTTAATTGGTAAATCTTTATCAAATATTTCTAGCACTGGTTGAGAACATGATAATTTTTTTATTTGTGCAAATGATTTTTCACAATCCCCAGACCAATTAAATTTTATATTTTTTCTCAACAGTCTATGTAATGGTTCTAGAATTGTTGAGATTTTTGGAATGTATTCGTGATAAAAGTTTATTTTACCTAGAAACTGTCTGATATTCTTCTGTGTTTTTGGTGTAGGGAAATTATATATTGATACCAAGTTGTCCTTGATTGGTCTTACTGTATTATTTTCTATTATATGTCCAAGATATTTGATTGACTTGGATGCGAACATGCATTTTCTTAATTTCAATCTAAAACCTTCTTTTATTATGGCCTCTAAAACTTGTTTTATATGAATTATATGATCTTCAAAAGTTTCTGAAAATATTAAAATGTCATCTATATAATTTTCTGTAAAGTTCTTAAGATTATTTTTTCTTAGTATACTAGATAAAATTCTTTGGAAAATTGCTGGTGCTGTTTTTAGGCCGAATGGTAGGCAAGTCCATTGATAATGTCCTTCTTGAGTTATAAAACCTGTTTTATTTCTATCTTCTATCCTTAATGGTATTGACCAAAATGCTGAATTGATGTCCAGTGATGTAAAATATTTACAGTTTCTAGCTTTAATTATTAGGTCATCAATTAACGGAAAAGGTTGAGCTTGGGGTGTCACAATTTTATTTAGATCTCTAAAATCAATGCATAATCTAGTCTTTCCTTCACCTTTTTTTAAAGCTAGAGTCACTGGTGCTGCAAATGGACTGTACGACTCCTCAATTAAATTTTCCTTTAATAGTTTTGCCACTTGCTGTTCTATTTCTTTTCTGTCCTCGATTGTACATCTATAAGGTCTCTTACTACAAAATTTATCTACTAAGAGATCTATTCTTGCTTCATAGTCTTTTAGAGTTCCTACATCATATTTATCTTTGGCAAATATTGTTTTATAATCTTCTATAAGTTGTTCTACTTTAATTTTTTTCTTATAATCTAAATGGTGTAAATCTATTTTAAAATCTTTTTCTATAATATGTTCATTAAAATTTATTTCTATCATATCTGCCTTTTGTAATTGTTTTTGGCTTATAATTAGATTTTCATCTTGTCTCAATTTAAATTCTTTTATTATATCTAGGCCTATCAAAAAATCGTGAAAGTTTTCATTTTCTACAATAAACACATCTACTTTTTTTTCAATGTTGAAAATTTTTAATTTTATCCTTGTTAATCCTTTTGTGACTGACACACCACTAATTGTTTTTAATTGTATTTTGTTCTTATCTTTATTATCATTTATAGTTTTTATTAATTTTTTATTTATCAATGAAACTTGAGATCCTGAGTCATAGATCCCTTCTATTTTTATTTTATCTTCTAATACAATGTTTAGTTTAATTAGTGGTGTGTTTATTCGTTTTTTGGTTTATCATAAACTTCTACATCTAAGATAGAATTGTTATTTACCTTTCTTGTTGTAATGTTTTTTTCTCTATTTTCTTCGTTCCTCTTAAACCAACACTTTTCATTAGGGTGATATCTCACACCTTTACCCAAATCTTCACATATCTTACAAGGTTTCTTTTCTTCATATTTGATATTTTTTTGGAAGTCTTGTTTTTTTTGAGGATTTTTTTTTACTTGACATTCGAGCTGTCTCAAATTATTATATAAGTCTGTTGTTTCTTTTAATTCTGATTTATCAATTTTGTTCAGTATAAATTCTGGTAGCCCTACTGCTATTAATGCTATAAGTGATTTAATATCCATATCTTTATTAAAATCTATTAAAAGTTTTTCTTTTTTCATAGCATAATCGGTTAACGAACCTTCTCGATATTTAAATGATAGTGCATAAGTAACATTATTCCATCCATTATCTGTAAAGCATTCTAAAAATCTTTTTTTCCATTCTGACCAACCAGCATTTACTGTTAATCTTATAAGTGTAGAAGAGTACCAATCTAAACTTGGTTTGTCCAAGAATGATTTTAATAATTCAATTTTATCCTCTTTTTCATCTATTTGAAATCTAGAGCACTCTTTTTCAAAGCTTTCCATCCATTGATTAGCATTAGTATTTTTGCTTGAAAATTTTTCTATCAAAAATTTGTCTGCTATTTGTTTTAAGTTTTTTTCTTTACCTTTATTTTGTGTTGTTTCTATCAGTTTTTCTAATATCTCTTTCAGATTATGATCCTGTGTTTTGTTCAAGTTCTCTTCATTTATTTCCTCTAAGTATTGGTCTTTAAATTGTAGATTTCCATCTTCGTCAATATATGTCTGCTCTAATTCTTTTGTCATCGTAATCCACACTTTTCTTACCTGATTTCTTTTTTTTTAATGAATTAACTACTTTTGTATAATTGTTTGATTTTTTCAATTCTGTATGATCACCCGTATATCTAAGTTCTTCTGGCAATGTATACCTCTTTCCATCCTCTGTACCAATTGAGGTTATGGCAATTACATTTGTTCTTGTATCTTTTGGTGAAGCTACTACAGTAAATTCAAACTGTAATTTCGACATCATAAACAAAAATTGTTGTTTTATAATGGATGTATTGGATAATAGTAACGCTTGGTTTCTCTGTGAAAACAAAAGTTATTTATTACTTATTATTTATATTATTTACAAATTTACAAATTTACCTGTGAAAACAAAAGAAACAACAATTTATGTTACTATTAAATGTTAATGTTTATGTTACTATTACTTATTAATTGTCACTCTTAATTATTATTTACAATTTAACTATAATATTAAAATCAATTTGCTTGGTTAACAATCCTCATATATTATCATTATCAATTTTACATTATCATTATCAATGTAGGTCAGTTACGCTGGCACCCGCATATTAGAAATTTCAATCGAAATTTGCGTCAACGATTGTTAAATCATTTGTGCAGGTTTGTAACCACAAAATTTTAATTTGTACAACCTCCCAAACACCGCAAAATACGTTATAAAGAAAGCGGGTGCCAGCGTAACGTTACTCCAGCACCCGCTTTTTGAAATATTTAACTTAAACACCCCAAATCTGCGTCAACGATTGTTAAATCATTTGTGCAGGTTTGTAACCACAACATTTTAATTTGTGCAACCTCCAAAACACCTGAAAAATCCATTACAAAAACGCGGGTGCCAGCGTAACGTTACTCCAGCTCCCGCTTTTTTGAATATTTAACTTAAACACCCCAAATCTGCGTCAATGATTGTTAAATCATTTGTGCAGGTTTGTAACCACAAAATTTTAATTTGTACAACCTCCCAAACACCGCAAAATACGTTATAAAGAAAGCGGGTGCCAGCGTAACGTTACTCCAGTACCCGCTTTTTGAAATATTTAACTTAAACACCCCAAATCTGCGTCAACGATTGTTAAATTATTTGTGCAGGTTTGTAACCACAACATTTTAATTTGTACAACCTCCAAAACACCTGAAAAATCCATTACAAAAACGCGGGTGCCAGCGTAACGTTACTCCAGCACCCGCTTTTTGAAATATTTAACTTAAACACCCCAAATCTGCGTCAACGATTGTTAAATCATTTGTGCAGGTTTGTAACCACAACATTTTAATTTGTACAACCTCCAAAACACCTGAAAAATCCATTACAAAAACGCGGGTGCCAGCGTAACGTTACTCCAGCACCCGCTTTTTGAAATATTTAACTTAAACACCCCAAATCTGCGTCAATGATTGTTAAATCATTTGTGCAGGTTTGTAACAACAACATTTTAATTTGTACAAATATGTATTGTAAAAAATATAAATTTGTCTTACAGTGTAATGTAATATAGTATTATATTTATATAATCTATTATATAAAAATCTCGTGTCATAGTGTTAGTATACGAACCTCTCCGTCTCGAACGATTTTAAAGATATTTTATTTGTAATAATTTCTTTTTATGAGAATAGGTAGTTAAGTATTTTTTACCTTCCTACTACACTACCACCACCCGGAGAGGTGCTAACCTAACGGGAAATTTAATTGTTGAACATTCCCTACCAAGGGGGATGAGTTGCACTTTGTCCGCTATCCGACATAATATGGCTGAGTTGCATTTACCTACTGCAGCAAGTTACATCTAAAAGGAGTTTAATACAGAACACTGAACAATCATAATTTTTTCATTAGTTCCCATTTATTACGGGCATCGAAGTATGCAGGAATGCGGGATCAGCCAGTTATATATAATATTTTGATATTATAAGACTCAAAAATATCAACAAGCGTATTATTGCTTTTATACTAATTATAATAAATAATATGTTACATGCCGTGATTGTCAAAATAAAATTCTTATCCATGTGTCACTACTCTATTTATTATTTTTATATAAAAAGAAGTTCTCTGCTTTATAAATAGTATTGTTATTTGTGCTCTATTATGTGTGATAAGATAAAACTATTTTGGAGTTGTTGATGCCTATATATATCTACTAACCGTGGTGGACGTCTTGTCCGATTAAAAAAAAAAAAAAAAAAGTAAAATTGGCCGGTGTGTACCGCGACCCGTTGCGGCTTCCCAACCTGTTAGCCATTGGTTGTCAACCTATACCGCATACAGCGCGGGGGTCGCAGTGCCGCGCGCCCGCGCGTTATGTGAACCACTGAGGAGAAACGGCCGCTAGGTTCGCGACGGTCATTGGCCAATTATCATGTCTCGGACTTTTTTTTATATACACCAATATTATTAATATCTTTATCGTTTATCAATGATGATAGTATTGAAACTCATGCTTATAATATTCATTATCATTTGACATCATTGATTTAAGTACCTCGTTGTTATTTTTTATCGTGTCAGTGATTTGTATGTGGCGGACTGCGTGTTATATTATTATTTAGACTTTTAAAGTATAAAGTTATTATTTAAGTAACTCGTATTGTTAAGATTTTAAAAAAATTCATGAGGTAAGTCTATTAAATTACCTAACTATTAAATTAAAATTTTTTGTAAATTATAATAGTATAATAAATTTTTTGTTTTCATTTTATGCTAAAGATGGGTCGTAAACCAAAAGTTGCTGCATCTATTCTTGAAACTCATATACTTAAGTATCAGGCTGAAATCGTAAAAGATGACGGTAAAAGTAAGTTATAATTTTATTTATCTGTAGAAAATAAACATAATTAACAAAGACTTAATTTAGTGGTTATTTCCTATATACCCTGAACCATTTCACTAACACACAATGTTTACTTCTTTGTATTTATACTCATGTTTATGATATTTCGTAATTTGAAACTAATAAATTTATTATATATTATGTTTCATCACGATGTTATTAAACTATTTACTCCTAAATATAATTTTCAAGAATCGAATAAATAGTTATTCGTTATTCCCGTACTCGTCGCTCGTGCCGACGACGCCTCTCCAGCATACCGTTGACATCATTAGCTTCATTCGATTTGTAAATTTTCTTTATAAATTCAACATAACAAATTAGTGTGGTATTGCACTAACTTTTATCCGTTCAATTTGATTTCAATTATATACTTAATATCATTGTAAAAAAAAAACGATTTTGAGGGAAGACGGTCAGTCACCTTATGATATTACTAAGTACATTTGCTGATATTATTGTGAATTAAGTAATTTACTATAGTTATCATAATAATAACTATAGTAGCTTTCGCAAATCAAAAGAAACATAAAGGTACAGATGGTATATAATAAGATAAAATACAAAGATTTGAAACTTCTCTATAAGCATTCAGCATAGCTTGTGCTGGGGAGATTTAGTTTAATTCAAATATTGACAAAAATAAACATTTCTAAAATATAACTAAAAATTACATCATTTGTGATTAACCATAAATTAATTTGTGTAATATCAACATTATTTTAGCAACATTTCAAATCATTTACATTTTTAAAATAATTGGGTATTTCTATCAGATGTTTTTATTTATTTATTCTAATTATTCTAAATTATTTTATTACAATTAAAATTGAACTTTTCATGCCAAAATATTTATGGTAAAGAGGTAGGTTCATTTAGATTAATATTTATGTTTCAACGTGTATTATAAATATGATTAACATAAACAGTATTATTTTTAAATTTATGAAAAGACAGTAATAAATTCTTATAGCATGAACATTATTATACATTAAGTAGATTAAAAACATTGTATACAAATTCATTGTTAGTAAGCCTAGGTATATTAAATTTAATTATACATTTAATTACATTATTTAATGTAATATTTAAAGAATGAAGATGAGACTCGAAAAGACAATATCATAAAATAGATTGAACTAAAGCTAAATAAATTGAATAAAAAAAATTGTCAAATAGTATTTGTCAGATTATTAATATGATAATTCCATTTAAGTTTATAATAAAGTGATGCCTAAATACTTAATATATCCTTCGTCTACTAGCACTTATCTTGCCTTCTATTTTTTCTTGAAGTATAAGTAGCAGCAATCCATATCTTTGATTATTTCTCCATATATGACCCAGGTATTCTAATTTCCGTGTTCTTATAGTCTTCAGTAATTCTAAATCCTTTTTTATTATTTGTAGTATGCACACGTTGAATACTCGGTCTGCCCATAAGATATTTAGGATACTGCGGTACAGCCACATTTCCAATGCCTCAATTTTCTTACTCAATGTTTCAGTTAATGTCTATGTTTCTATACCATATTATAATAAAATAGGAAATATATAACATCTTAATATTATAATCTTAGTGCCAAGTGAAAAATCATGACATTCTTAAACATTTTCACGAATGCACCTCTGGCCATCTCAATCCCATGTCCCCAGTCTTCTTTTACGCATGTACAGAGATTTATACTTTTGACCTTTTCTATTTGTTGTCCCATAGTAAAATTAATAGTTTTTCTTTAAATTTTGTTTTTTTTTAAATTACTTTATATTTGGTTTTGCTTATATTTATAGACAACCCAAAACTTTCACTTACATCCACTATTCTATCTACAATTTTTTAGAGGCTTAACATATTATTCGTGAATACAACTGTATCATCGGCGTATCTTATGTTGTTAATACATTTGCCGTTTATTTTTATGCCGTCGTTAACATCATCCAAAGCTTCGCGAAGTATGAATTCAGAATATAAGTTAAATAAAAGTAGTGAGAGGATGCATCCCTGTCTCACTCCTCTTTTTATTGGAATATCGTTTGACATTAATTCTTCTTCTACTCGTAAAGCAGAAGTTTGGTTCCAGTATAAATTGCTTATTATACTCGGGTCTTGATTGTCAATTCCAGTCACTTCTAGTATTTTTATAAGTTTGTCGTGTTAAA